CCCACCCCTGGCACACCAAGCAGCCGCTCCACGCTGGCCATCCCCTGTGAGCCCCACGCCTGCCTGCAGCAGCCCTACAGCAGATTGTTTCTATCTGCACCCAACGTGGAGGAGCAGCATGCTCTGAATTAACAGCCTTCCTCCTCCTGATCAACATCAGCTGTTTTCATTTTTTCACGTCAACACATCGTTTTCAGTTCAGTCTCGGGCCCGTTCCTTCCCGCTGCAGCTGCGTGTTCAGCCTCAGGTGGGTTTCCCATCGGAGTCACTTCCCTTGGACAGACATCAGACATTCTCCAGGATGTGTTCTTTGGATGTCAAACATCAGCCATGGAAGGCTCTGGCAAGGCACAGCAGCTGAGGGATTTGTCCTTTAATAGGGCCTCAGGGACTGCTTCCAAAGAGGTCAGAGAGCAGCAGCCACCACCCCGCTCACCAGACACTGGAGTGAGACACCCAGTACAAGGGAAACATGAATTAGGAGTTAGCTGCAGGAACCTCACAGTGGGATATTAACCTGAGCATGGGGAAAGGAAAGAAGGTAAAGGAGAAAAAGGAGCAAGAAAGAGTAGGTGAGAGCTCCAGGGCAGGAAGATGTGGAAGAACTGAAGATGATGTAAGTGTGCTTGCATATGGTGTCAGCACAAGGGGAACAGGGTGGGACATATAAATGATTTCAGGTGAGTAAAGTACTGATATGGAAGAGCCCAGATTTGGCTTAATAAGAATCACCAAAGGGGGTAAAGGAAATTAGAAAGCTCTAGCCCAGTATCAGAAGGCAGGTGAAAAAATGAAGCAACTAGGCAAGTATCTATCTTGCTATTTAGGAAGGTGAAGTCTTCAAGAGATTTTTAGAGACAAATTGTGCCAAGGTGGGTAATCTTGCTGTATTTTCATGATGAAGACAAATTCTCTTTAGAGTTATTTTGTCCTTGAGGGAAGCTCTACTACACACACCTCTCTATGTGCTAGTGGTGAACACTAGCAAAGACTTACTGTAAATTGTTCATATGCAAAAAACCCAGCAGCCTTACACTGGGGAAACTGAGTGGAGCCATTTCCATGGTTCTCAGTCCAAATCTGTGTTGGACCCCATGACTGTAGAGTCAGAATTCATCCCACTGAAATTATCAATTATATAATATGCATCTGCAGTAACTCAGTGCTTTGGGTACAAATACATACCTTTTTCAGAAGAGCTGCTTCTTTGTGCATCCTGAAGCTGCCTGTAGGGATAGAAAGTTATTTCTGAAGTGATCAGCAAGCCTGTGTTATGGACTGGCAGGTCAAGATAGCCAAATACGATGCACACTAAACACACTGGACATTGCTCATATGACAGTAGGATGGGGCAAGGAAAGACAGAGCAGTAGGAGAAAGTATCCTCAGTAATTTCCAGGAGTAGAAAAACTACTTGTTTGTTAACTACTCAGCCAGTGAATTCATTAAATAGCCAGTATTTTGTGTCCTGTGTTTGTGCAGCACAAGGCACAGCCCTATCCATGACACAGATACACGAAGTCTACATTGGAAAAAAAAACAACAATGAGATGAGAATGGTGACAACTCTGATTAGAGCCCATGTGCAGGACAAGTCAGACTCCAGGAACTAGTCTTGTTTACTTTCCCCACACACCATGCCTTGCCACCTGATGTATTTTTCAGTGAGATAAACTATTCTTTCCTCTGTTTGTGGCTTCCTCTTTCTTTCCTCATTCCTTCTCTTTACACTAGTCTTTTATATCTCTTTTACTTCTTTGTGGCTTTTACATGCTTTGGGTCTTTGTTCCTTCCCTTTCTCCATCCCTTTTCTTATACCTGTTCACTCTCTACCCAATGGTAGTGGCAAGACAAAGTGAAATATCAAATACCCAAAATACTGCTCAAGCCAAATCTTTGTCATTATGTATTTTGCCTCCTACCCCCTGCTTTTTGTATTTATTTTGCAAGACTATCTCTTAACCCTGTTGTTACACAATCATAATAATACCACCAGTGTACTGCCACCAGTTCACTGTTTAATCAGTCTGCACTGTCAGAGGCTGCCTGGTCACAAAAGGCACTGGCTGGAGGAAACAAGGCTCCATCTTGCCAGGAGGAATTCCCAAATTCTCTTGTTTTGGAGCAAAGTGGTACACGGGGGTGTGTGAGTATGTGTGGGCCCAGTGATGTTACTCTAGGAATATGCAGTTGCATCAGCAGCTGTTACCTTGGGCCCTTTCAGAGTCCAAACTGCGGGATCTTCCCTGTCCTCTTTGAAGTGCTACTTCAGCGTGCCAAGCATGAGTTCATCCCCCTGCAGTGACACTGCCAGACAGGTTTTCCCACTTGTGTTTCAGGTTCCCTCATGTGCCTGATTCCCCAGCCAGTGTGAGCACCTCAGCTTTAAGTCTGTTAGTCCTGACTTCTGCTGCAGCACCGTGCACTCCCTCTCCTTTCAACCATTTGAAGATATGCACTGATGTCCCACCTTGCTTTTGCCTAAAAACATGTGTTCTCCCTCCAAAATGCACTTTCTTTGTGTATGCACACACCACGTGTAGTCCTTTCTGGCTGTGCTCTCAGCCACAGCTCACAGAGTTCTTTGCACTGAAGTTGGCAGTCTCCCCTGGCCGGCACGATGCAAGTTCAAGGGGCCATGGACTTTGGCTGCTCTTCAGACTGCTCTTTGCTGCCCATTTGCAGAGTGGCAGCTCCTCTGGAGCTGTGAGTCTTTGTGTCTGGGTGAGGATGTCCCTTCTCCTGCCAGGACACTGGGCCTATCCTTGGCCGGCGGTTCCCTGCCGTCCCTGCTGGTCCAGGATGTCCCAGTGCATGAGAGGGAGCAGTGACGGAGCAGCGAGCAGTGGAAGGGAGATTTTCTAGTGAAAAGAGAAGCTTGTGGGAAAAGTTTCCAGATGAGGATTCTTGAGTATTTTAGGTAGTTTGTGTGTGTGTGTGCGTGTCAGGGGCACATCTCCCTTATCAATATCGTGTGTGCATTTAGCCAGAGATCTCAGGATGCTGTAGCTCTCGTTTACACCCCAAACAAGCAGCATTTCCCCGCACCTCCCTCTGCATCGTGCGGGCAAAGCGGCGCAGCCGTATTCCCTCTCACTGCAGAGCCGGGCTCCCTGACACCTCAAGGCTGCAATCCCTCCCCGGATTTCCCTGGCTCCTTCAGCGCTGGGCGCGGGTGGCCGGGAGGTGGCACTGTGTCCTCACGGCAGAGGCGGCTGCGGGAGCGGGGACCCGCCTGTCCCCTCTGCCTGCCCTCGCCGGGACCAGCGGGGGATCCGCTTCCCGGCCTGCGCAGGCATCACCCAAACCCTCTGCTGCCCCTCCTGCCAGGGACCACCGCCTCGGAGGGGCCGGGAACAAACCACCTCCCACCCAAGAAATTCGGCTCTCCGAAAAGCGGCGCCGGGGGGTGTGCGGGAGGGCAGCTCGGTGTGATTTATCCCCCGGGGCTGTGACGGACGCACAACTCGTGGCCGCACAATGGGGCCACCCGGCGGGCGGGGAGGGCAGGGGA